TCAATAAATGATGAACTTATTGAATGGTTATGTTCTTGTTTACCATCTACATATTCAATTACGAGAGATATTGGCACATCAAATATTCGTTTATGGATTGATCGGTAACCAATAGATGATCAAATTATTATTTATTATAAACTATAAATTATTCTGAAAATGAAATCATTTTTTTTCCGTGACAGGAACATAATTTATTCCCTTTCTTTTTATATTAAACTGATCCAAAAATGATTTTCATAAATATTTACAAAACTAGTTAATTGACATTTGGTTATTTGAAAAACAATCTCTTCAGATAAAAACAAAATATTTTTATACTATTATATGCACACTTTTTTCATAAATAAGAATTTTTAATAGTGTGTTACTTTTATCGTTTTGTTCCAAATTTCTCTGAAAACATTACACAAAAGAACAATACACTGTCAACAATTCTTCTTTATGGAAGAAAAAAAAATGTGAATGTAATACTATAAGAATATTTTGTTTTGTCCGAAGAAGTTGTTTTACAAACAACAAAACGTCACATTATTAATCTTGTAAATTTGTTTAACATAAAAAGGAAGAGAATAAATGATGCTGACTAGAAAATGGAATCAAATCTACGCTCACTACCTGGATGTATTACGTTCTAAGTATACTGACAATGGTATCATGCCACCGATCTGTTACAGCATCTTGGTCGAGTATCCTGCTAATAATTGTTTGAATGTATGGGCACTTATCCAACTTCTAGAGTATCGTATAAAAACATTTTTCAGAAGTCAGTCGATTGAAAACTTAGACGCATTTTACAGTCAAGTACCAAAAAATCCATCAGATATTAAAGTGGTCAAAAGTTTCTGTGGCATGTTAATAGCAAGGTCTCCTTTCAGATAAATGGAACTTAGTAAATTCATTAAGAGCTGTATTACATTTGTCTTTGACTCTGCTTCTATCTATATTCCCTCTACTGAAAGGAGGGTCATACACCGAGCAAGGTTCATATGTTCGTAACTTCGTTCGTTCCCACAGAATGAAGAAAAGTTTTTTTGACCTATAACATCATCGATCCCGCAACAAAACTTAATCTTAGCTATTGGATTACTCGATAGTCCCACCCCCTCTCCCAAACTAATCAGATGTCTGCTTCATCTGCATGCAAGCCAATCAGATTTCAGGTAACATGTTTTCAGCCAATCGTAGGTTTTCACGGATCGGCTATGCACCAATAAGATTCCAAGAGTGTCCATTTGGGTCAATCATAGGTTTTCACGGTTTGGCTACGCGCCAATTGGATTTTGAGAGTGACCATTTGGACCAATCATAGCTTTTCACGGTTTGACCATGCACCAATGAGATTTTGTGAGTTGGGAGTTGCACCCATCTAAAGTTTTCCGGTTAGGGTGGATGTACATGGGCGTGGGTGTGGGCGTGAATGGTGTATGATGTGCGTGTAGGTTGAATGGAGTGGGGTTATGGTATGTGTGGAAGTGTGGGCGGTTGTGAATGTGTGTGGTAGTGAGTACTCAGTACGTTTGGATGGGTTGGAGTGTGGGTGTATGTTTGGATTCGGAATTAAATGAAATGTATTCTTATGTACACCGACACTGACAACTACATTGGATCCTGCACACATACGCACTCTATATGTGTTTCAAAATGAAAGTTGAGATTTGAGTATGGGTTGGAAAACCTATTGGAGCAGGATTCTTGGGATTTTTTGTAAGTTTTAGTGGTATGTGAGAGCTAATGCTACTGTACTAGTTGTTTATGGAAGTTGGTTTAATGAAATGAAGGTCGTTCGGTTGACTCTGGTTCTCGATGTAGTTTGTCGGTTTGTTACGATGAGGTCATATGAAGGTGCACTTGCAAGTGTTGTTAGCGGAGATGTTGATAAGAAAATTTGGTTGACATTGCTGATCTTCTCTGAAATCGTTACTTAAGAAACTTTTCTTTCACGACGTGTGTCATATGTAGTTTCTGTTGTGTTGTGTAGCTGTGAAATGCTGTTTGGGATGCCGATTGAATGCACGAACGATAGTGACTTTCTATCAATACAGTTCGTTTACATAATTCAAATTCTTTTCGTTATTTTTTATCTTGATGACTTTTATTTGAAATATAGTTTCGTACGAGCTGTACAAATGATCAATAGACTATAATTGTAAAAAGAGCAGATTTGGAGCATGCAATATAGCTTTTTGAGTTAGATGGTTCTTCTGAACATCACGGTACTCTTAATATGTTGTTGTTTTAAGCGATGAATTGAAAACATTTCCGAGTATTTTGTGCTATTCTATCTAGTCTTTTAAGTTCTTCTATTTTGGCCGTTGACGGTTTAACTTGAAGTGTTGCAAATTCAAATGGACGTATGATTAGTAAATCATCAAGTCTCTTTACACGAGATAATGGAACGTAAACCGAGGCTAATTTGAGTGGGCCAGGCGGCATGACCAGATCGACGATAATTTTACCCAGTGTTTGACCTTAGCTTTTATGTATTGTCATGCTATATGGCGACATAAGCGGAAGTGCTTTACGTTTGACCGTGAGTTTTGTTGTTTTCTTGTTTATTTTGGCCGCTTTTGCTACATTTTCTGGAAGAAGTTCTTTGGTGTCAAACAGGAATGTTTGTTCACTAACAGCTATAGGGACTATTTTGGAAGAGAGTTGAGCAAGTTTTTCATTAAGTTTGCAACTCGGAAATTCTACTAAAGCGTACTTTGGTTGCGTTATAAACTTGGGATTTGGTGGAAAATTCTGGTTGTGGTATCGAACATCTTCTGGTGGTTCATCGTATACAAGTTGACGGAAGTTTCCTTGTGTACCGTTAGAAAGTCCGAGCTCAGTAGCAATGTTTTCTGTAAGTAAAACTGGCATTCCTGTTACAAGTGGTAAATACTCTGGAAGATGTTCGGTTTTATTGTCACGTAGTTCAAGTATGGCTTTACGTAATCGTAGATCATCCACAGGTTTTTCGTGAATATAATCTTGAGCAATACAAACAATTGGAGTAAGTCCCATTTCAATTATTTTGTTTAAGACAGCCCAGTTGTTTATCTGAGTGCGTAGTGTATTCCGAAAAACCAGTATTGGAGCCTATTAAAAGAAAAGTAATGTGATACACAGAGAAAATGAGTGTGCATACTTCGTTTCGTGACTTTTGTTGTAGACATACTTAAAGCTTTGGATTTCCTATGATTCTTGCACATAGAAGTTGATAATCTTCCATTGTCGATTATCCATTTCTTAACCTATTTAAAAGCTCCAAATATCTTACGTCTACGGTACGCATTTGCTGAGTTAATTCCACAACGCAGTTTATTTTAGACATAAGCTTCAGTACACACAACATATCTATCTGACGTTCTGTAACTTGCTGTGTCGGTGTGCAGCTACAGTAGAGAGGCTTGTTAAATATAAAATAAAGATGTGAGGTTCCATGGCTTCTAGCTGTGGACATAGTTCTTTCTCATTTTCTTTCTTTGTGAAACATTTGTCTTCAAAAGACTGTACCGAATTCCCTCTACTGAAAGTTCTCTCCACTGAAAGAAGGGTCTTACGCAGAATAAGTTATGTACGTTCGTTCGTTCGCACAGAACAAAAAAAATGTCCCTTTGACCTTCTGCAAGATGGCTTCTTACAGGAAATTAAAAAATCAAAATCAGTGAGATTGGCCACCTCGGACACAAGTTTAAGCCAACCAAGTATTTTCTGGGTGTCGCGCTCACCTAATAGGATTTCGAGGGCCCAGAATTCAGCCAATAAAATTTCGAAAGTCCAGAATTCGGTCAATCAGGTGTTTTTTTGGTGTAGTCCTCAGCTAATAGGATTTCGAGGGTCCAGAATTCGGCCAATCACGTGTTATCTCTATGTGGTCTTCAGTCAATAGGATTTCGAGGATCAATAATTTCGTGAATCAAGTATTTTCTGGGTGTGGCGCTCAGCCAATAGGGTTTCGAGGGCCCAAAGTTCGACTACGCAGGTGTTTTTTGTAGGTGCGGCATTCAGTCAATAGGATTTTGAGAGCTCAAAATTCAGCGATTCAGGTTTTTCTGGATGTAGCTTGCGTGGAAGCAATTTTGTCGGGTGTGACTGGGTATCACTATGAAAATTTATTCGTGTAAGTCTTGTACAGTAAGATCAGGATGTGGAAATGATCGTGTTAGCAACATATGTGAGTCATAGGAAGGAAAGTAAAGGAAAGGAAAGGAAACATATGTGCATGAATGGAGGAAAAAGACGACCTTCGTGGGACTCGAACCCACACCTTCTGCTATCCTGGCAGATGTCCTAAGCCAGTTAGACTGAAGGACCATCTAATCCTCCATGTAGCGTTGTGATATATCATCACAGACGCTAACAGATCGTTTCTATGCTTTTCGGTTCCGGTGTCGGCTACACAGCTTGTATGGTATACACAGGTGATGATATTCCTTTATGTAGACACTGGTACGAAGACTCGGAGCTACTCAACCATCTTCGCTAATGTTCCTCACGAACATTCATATTCAAGTTTGACATGGGATACAGGAAAGATTTCATATACATTATGGTGGGATGAGTTCAGTTATTTGCTCGAGTTGTGCATAGGTAGCTATACAATATCAATCGGCGGAACTTTTTTAAAGATTAAAATTCTTTGCATGCAATAACATACGTATATCGCTTTTGTTGCAAGATATAAATTCATACAAATTTCATGAAGGATCAATAGAATAAGATGTCAAAATAAACACAAATCGAGCATACAATGTATAGTAAATGCTTTACAGCTCGCAGGTTATCACGAAAGTTTGAGTACTGAGAAAATTTTATTGTTTTAAATAGCTAATGGAAAACGTTTTCTAGTATTTTGTGCAATTCTGTCTAACCTCTTCAGTTCTTCGAGCTGAGCTGTAGATGGCTTCATTTGAAGTGTTGCGAATTCAAAAGGACGTATGATTAGTAAATCATCAAGCCGTTTTACACGAGACAATGGAACGTAAACCGATGCGACTTCAACTGGATCAGTTGACATGATAAGATCAATGATAATTTTATCGAGTGTTTGACCTTGAGTTTTATGTGTTATCATACTGTAGGCGGAGAATTAGAAGAAGAACGCTGCGCTTGATCGAGATTTTTGTTGTTCGTTTGTTCATTTTTGCAGCCTTTGCCACATTCTCGGTAAGAAGCTCCTTGACATCAAAGAGGAATATTTGTCAACAAATGGCTATTGGAATTATTCTGGATTTAGGTTCAACAAGTTCAGAATCAAGCTTGTAATTTGGAAAATTCTACTAAAGCATATTTTGGTTGTGTTATAAACTTTGTATTTGTTGGAAAATTCTTGTCATGGAATTGAACATCTAATGAAGATTCTCCGTATACAAGTTGACGAAATATCCCACGTGTATCATTGGACGGTCCGAGCTCAGTAGCAACGTTCTCTGTGAGTAAAATTGACAGCCCCGGTACGAGAGATAAATAGCCTGGAATATGCTCTGTTTTATTGTCAGATAGTTCAAGAATCGTTTTATGTAATCGTTTTGTCTTCTATGTTTTTTCCCTGAATATAATCTTGAGTGACGCATACGATCGGTGTAAGTTTCATTTCCATCACTTTATTTAAGACCGCCCTATTGTCAAGCTGAGTACGAAGTACATTTCGAAAAACCAGTATTGAAACCTGTTAACAAAGATCTAATGACGTATAGAAAAAGAAGTGATTATACATACTTCGTTCCATGGTTTTTGTTGTAATGATACTTGGAGTTTTGAATTTTCCTATGACTCGCCTAAAAAGAAGTTGATAACCTTCGATTGTCGACTGCTCATTTCTCAATCTGTTTAAAAGCTTCAAATATCAGATGTCTTCCGTTCGCATTTGCTGATTTAATTCAACGACGCAATTCATTTGAGACATAAGCTTCTGTACACATAGCATATCTATTTGACGTTCTGTAAATTGCTGTGTCAATGCGCAGCTTCGGTAGAGAGATCTATCCAATACTGGAGAATATTGCAGATAGTCGCAAAAAAAACTGACATTCACACTATCAAAAGAAAACTCAGATTTTATGTGCTTTGCTATTTTCACTATTCGATTAAGAC